AGTTAACTACAGTTTTACAGCGAGATATAGACGGTAAATCATACTCATTTTCGCAATGTCGACCAGTCTTGATCCCATTATTACGCTCTGAGATTAAGTCGCTACACCCACGGAGGCTGGAGCTCGGAACTGTTCTGACGGATTAGTTCCGCAGTATTTTGATGTGTCATTTTACATCGTAAAATTACTCCTTTATAACTAAATTCAAACAGTTGTATTCGAAAAATGTAATATTCAGTTCCTACCGTGTTCTTTGCCGTTACAATTTCTCATGTATTGCTACTTTCCTAAATAAACGGATCAGACGATAAAAAATACATTTCCGTAGTTGGGTCCGCTTTGGCCTCGTTAGCCTCCTCCCCCCCCCCCCCCGACATAAAATCCTGGTTACGGGCCTGGTTTATTATTAATGTAACCTTCAGGAATGTTCTACCCACGAGGTTACTGAGAGCAAATGCAGTGATTATTAGTAATGTAACCATCAGGTAAGTTCTACCCACGAGGTTACAGAGAACCTGCAAATGCAGTAACAATTATTAGATTTTAGTGCAACTATCAGGTTGAGTTTCTCCATTAAAAGAGTTTTTTGCAAGGGTTAAACAAGTTTGGCTTTCATGAGTTTCAAGGTGCAAGAAATTATCAGTATAATTATAGCACACAAACATTGCACGTTAACGAAAAATCGTCCTCAGATGAACTCCATATTAACTAAATTATGCTAAACGTTGCGAAAGAAATCAATTATTGTTCGTGTCCGTCTTATCCATCGTAAAAGCGAGGGGTCATCGCATGACATTCGGTATATTAAACAGAGGTAATACTCACGGGTTTCACGAGTTGTATGCACTATTTTTCGCCGAGAAACAAATTTAAACTTCAATTCTTACCTTTCAGTAGTCCGTTCTTTTACCTTGCATTCGACAACAAATCTGTTAAAGGCGAACAAAGCGATTCCGGCACTCTTCTTTATGATGAGTAGCAAGCCGCGGGAACTGAAGCCGCTTGACTGAAGTAAAATCCACCGATATGCACGGCATTCTCACTACAAGTATGAACAAACGTTGCGGGGAAAAAAAAGACGAGGAGGAAAAAATGCCAGATCTTCGCCTTGGCAATGTATTCCAGCTACCATGCCGGCGTATCTCCAGAAGGTGGACTCGAAGTGGGACAATCCTTGTGATTTTTCTTTAGAAGCCCTTTGCGCGCAAACTAATTTATTCTGGCGCGAAATGAAGATTAACAATAGGTATACTGAAATCTAATCCACGACAAGAAGATTTTCGCACTGTAGCGCGACATATTAAATGCCTATGTTTACAAGTACGCGGAGAAAGTGGTCCACTAGTTTAACTTTTTGAAGATGAATTTACTCCACAAATAGCAAAATGAAATGTTTTATCTCTATGTTGTTTACGTGCCGGATTAATCAATTTTGACATGAAACCATGTTGAAAGAGGTCAGTGTAATATACTAATCAAACTGCATGACTCAACACTAAGCAGCACGTCTCATGGCGGATTCCAACGACAACTTTATTTCCAATAGCATTGTGGGTAATGACAGCTTTCTCAGAGGGTACTCAATATATTACACTACTTCTCCCCATAAGAAAGATACAAACAACAACGGTACAGAAACTTAAACAGCAGCCTATGCTACAGATTAAGTCGGTCAACCGGTTTTCTATTTCTTAACGATCGCCTCAAAATAAGTGGCGATGATTCTTTACAAGGACTAGGTTCTGATTCCTCATTGGTAGGCTGCGATACATTATTTGAAACTAATGCAGTCTAGAACCGGAACGGATTGGTCACATAACTTAGGAACTGATATCTCAATCTCACTAGCTTTATTTGGCCCTTTATCGTGAGCCCTAATTAAATGATCAGTATGAACGTATCTAGTCTTATGTCCAGTTTTCACTAAATAAGTTTTAGGTCCACACACCTTAACTACCCTTCCCAGGATCCACCACACAATATTGCCTTTGGCTTGAGTGTTCCTTACCCGAACTATGTCATTTTCTGAAAACTGCCTATCCTTATGATTCTTTAAATTCTTATATTGCTTCTGTTTGCTCTGTTTATTCTCAATCTCTTGGGCTAGGTCAGGTTTCACAAGACTTAAGCGAGTACGCAGACGGCGTTTCATTGACAACTCAGCAGGCGTTGCCCCCCATGGTGCTGTGTGGAGTTGTGCGGTATCTCAGGAGAAAATCAGCTAGTCTATGTTCCATGGCCCTTGCCCTATTGCTTTCCAAAACCTGTTTCACTAAAGCTTCCTTCACCACCCTGACCGATCGTTCGGCCGCCCCATTTGATTGAGGGTGATTGGGTGGCACTAGGGTATGTTTGATCCCAGTTTTACTCATAAATTCGCCAAATTCGTTAGAGGTAAACTGTGGCCCATTATCCGATACCACTTCCTCTGGCAAGCAGTGTTGGGGCAAATATGAGACGTAGCTGACCAACGGTACGCTCTGTGTTAGTTGAGGACATATGTCTTACCTCGAGCCATTTAGAATTACTATCAATCACGACTAAAAATTGATCAGGCCCCTTTTGACAAACATCTATGTGAATGTGGGGAACTCCTTACATTATATATGGCAAACTGTACACAGTTTCACTTCTTTTTCGATTTCTTCATCCATCTATTGCCACCAGACACATGTGCAGGCTATGGCCTTCATTGCACAGGTGTCATAGTGTTCCCAATGTAATTCTTTTAACATTTTCTCTCTAAAAACTTGGGGAATAATCACTCTAGAGCCCCACAAAACACAGCTGTGTTCACAGGAAAGCTCCTGACTACGAATGTGATAGGGTTTTAGTTCTTCTTCATCACATTTTTCTGGCCATCCTGTCATGACAAAATCGAGTACTCTACTAAGGAATGGGTTAAACACAGTGGTCTTCCCAATATCCTTTGCTGTTATTGGGAAGTCCTCATCAATAGCGCTCACACTATAAATCTCACTCTCACACCCTATCATTGAGTCCTCATGGGGAAACCGGGAGAGTGCATCACAATTACAATGTTTTTCTGACCTTCTGTACTCAATTTGATAATCATATGCAGAAAGGACAATGGCCAAACGCTGCATACGGGCAGCCGCCATTGTGGGAATGGTTGCTTTTGGGCCTAACAATGTTAGCAAGGGCTGGTGATCTGTCACTAGGGTAAACTTTCGTCCATATAGAAACTGGTGAAATTTTTTAACCCCGTACACAATGGACAAAGCTTCGCGTTCTATCTGTGCATAGTTTCTCTCGCTTGAGCTTAGAGTACGGGAGGCATAGGCTATCGGCCTTTCTTGACCGTCATCCATAATATGACTTAACACTGCTCCTAGGCCATAACTTGATGCATCACAGGCTAACTTTAATTCCCGATTTAGGTCATAGTGGACTGACAATGAATCACTAGCTAGGCCCTCTTTACAGGCTTCAAAGACTTTCTGGCAGTCGTGTGTCCACTCCCACTGCATGCCCTTTTGCAAAAGCTTATGCAAGGGTGCCAGCATTGTGGCTAGACCCGGCAGGAAATAATAATAGTATTGCACCATGCCTAGAAAAGATCTCATTTCACTTACATTGCGAGGGGTGGGTGCTTTCTTCACTGCATTGATTTTCTCTTACACTGGTTGCAGACCTACCGCACTGATTTTTAGGCCTAAGTAGACCACTTCAGGTTTCAAAAACTCACATTTGGACAGTTTCAATTACAAATTGTACTTGTGTAACCTGTCTAAAACTTCTGCAAGTATCTTAAGATTCTCTTGCCAATCATTTCCACCTACCAAAATGTCGTCCTTTTTACATACACATGTCTCAATTCTCTGGAGAATCTGATCCATTTTTGCCTGAAATATTTTTGGGGATGACTTGACACCATAAGGTAGTTTCAAATAGGAATACGGACCTTTGTGGGTGCTTATAGTCAATTACTCTTGACTTTCTTTGTCAACATTCAGCTGTGCATACGCATGTGACTCAAGCCCCTTCATGCCCTCACAACTGTCGGTAAATAATCCATGATACTTTTACAGCAGATTACTTAGTTGACCCTCTGCACTGATTGGGTTTTCATTCGAGACACTTAAGAACTCTCCCCATACCAATTTTATCTGACGCAGCCAATTTTTATTAAGTAGCGTAGGTTTGCCACTGTAGTTAACTACAACTACTGGTAGTGAATAGTGTTTATCCTTATAAATAACATTGCACTGCATTTCACCCGACACCTCAAGCACCTCACCAGTGTACGTACGAAGTACTACCTTAGATGGAGTTAGGGGCGTGTCTGCAAACTTCTCCAGATATACACTGTGTGCCATTATGGAATAGTCTGCGGCAGTATCTACCTCATTTTGCATGGTTTCCCATTGATCACCATTTCTACCGAATAACTACCGAGACTAGGCCTGTTTGTGTCGAGCGAATACAATGAGTAAATTCCTAATTCATCATCACTTGATTCAGATACATGCAAGTTATGGACCGAGCCCTTCTTTCGCTCACTTTTGTTACGACAGACAGAGGCTAGATGACCGATCTTAGAACACCGATAACACTTTGCAGACTTAAATTTACAAGACTGACCTGAATGATTATTACCACCACACCTAAAACATTGTTCATGATTAGTGTTTTTGTTGTCCTGTGCAGTCAACTGGTTCACTTGAGGGCTTTCACAGATGGTAGGGGGAAACGCCTGTGTGTTTCTTTCGGCCATCTCCATAGCCTTAGCAATCCTACAAGCTTTCTCAAACGTCAGGTCCTCCGTGTTCAATAGTTTGTTTTGAATCTTCGGGTTGCTCAGTCCGCAAACAAATCGGTCACGTAACGCTCGATCCAAAAATTCACCCGTAATTACAGTGAACAGCCAATCTCTTCAACGCTGACACGTAATCCCCAACAGATTCTTCGGACTTCTGATTTCGGGTTCCAAAATGGAAACTTTGCGCAATTTCCAGCGGTTTTGGATTGTAATGCTTCTACAGGACACGTACGGTGTCAACAAATGGTGTATCTTTGGGCTTAGTGGGCGCTAGTAGATTACTGAGGGGGCAGGGCAGAAAAACCGCTGATTGGTTAAAAAAAAATTCCACTGAGAGCATGCGCGTGCGCCTTCCGCTGACCATATGCAGATGCAGTTGGTTCAAAAGAATGAGCGATCCGAAGGAGCTACAATCGAGCGATCATGAATGTGAGCTATTTGGCCGAAATTTGAAGAGCACTGTGTTGAAATACATCACTGAAAGGTCTTGTATATAATGGTATCATTTTGTTTTGCTTCGCTTTGGAGGTAATCTTTGTGATTGTATTACGTTAAACGGACGGAGTCGTGCCAAGCAAACCATGTGCTTTTTTCGATCAACTTTCCTCTACGCGATTGTTTGGTTTTCCTGCAACAAGTCTCGGTGATCCGATAGTTACACAACTGAGTTTAAAGGTAAGACATTTTTCGTCTTTGACATAGTGAACGTTTTCAGAGTTAATGAGTTAACCGAAATTTGCATTGGATGCTATTTATCCTCCACGAGATTGCGGCGGTGCAGCGTGCGCTGCGTGCAGGCGTATAATGCGGCACCTAACAGTTGGCGAAGCCATTGCTAAAAGTAACCAAACTTTCAAACAAAATAGCACTTCATAGCACCCTGAGTTACAAGTTTAATGGGCTTTTTATTCTAGGTTATATATATCCACACTGTTCAATGAATTCCTTGGTGTGAATTGTTTACATTGTTCCGCTAGAAGCGAAATTATTTTTTTGTACGCGTTGTCCAATTTGTAATTTCTTTACATCAATTTATACCAACTGATTTATACAGTTAATAACTTTGTTTTTGGACTGATATAGATTTGGAATGATTTTACGGTACAAAATTAGGTTGTTTTAAGAAAGGTGAAATTTTAAGGATGAATTTTTAAGCTTACATGTATCCAGAATTAGCGGAGTTATACACAATCCTTGCCCATATACAATGTGGTATTTTGAAGTGAAAATCTTATTATATTTACATGTTCAAAATAACATCGAATATTTTGAAGACACTATCTTACTCCTGTACATCACATTGTCCCTTATTAGTATTCTCGACAGGACTATCACTATATTTTTCTCACTGGCATAGTAGTTGGGCTGAGTTAATCTTTTATAATGCAAAGATCTCATATAATATTGTATGGACCAAATTCCAAATGCAAGCACAAGATCACTTATTTGTTATCTAGCTACTTGCATTGTTTTGAGATACCTATAGCAAGACAAAGGCAACAACAAAGGCATTGTTCAAGGTTTCTCTCCTGTGTTATCATGCCTATTCCTATTCAAGGTATTTTACATGAAACAAAGGGCTTGTATGATTTGTTTGGATTTGCTTCTAAAAAAGGAAATGATTATTGTTTTGTTATTCTCATTTCAGGGAAACACTTAACTATTTACCCCTTTGTGGGTGTTCTGATGCTGAGTCAAGCCCCCTTTGCTCTTACAGACCCTGCCACATGTGACACACACCATACTAGTATTAACAATTACTGCTTCTCCAGTAGAGTCGGTGGAGTTTACATTCTTGGAATTTTTGTTGCTGTACTTAAATAAAGCACTTTGTGGAAGATGCAAAAGGGATTGTTTTGCTTTAATGAGTATCTTATTTGCTAGTGTATCAGGTTTGCTATCATCATCATCACTGTCATCATCATCTGAGTTGTCACTTCCATCATCATCGTCGTCGTCATCATGATCATTGGTGGGAGGCGAGTGCTCTCACCATTGTGCCATCCCTTGCTCATTATTGTTCCTTATGCTAAAAGTGTTTTAAAAATGTTAAGCCAAACCTGGCATATAATCTTCTTGTTGTAGTACCATGTTGGCCAATCACCAGCTAAGAGCAGTAGGTTCTTTTCCATGTATTCGCTTAGTGATGGGCAAACTTCATTGAGGTGCTGCATTGCTTGTCTATAATTTGCCATGCTCTTAAGGGACTGTTCAAATTCGTCAACTAGCCAAGTGTTGGACAGCAAATCCAAGTCATGTCTGGCCTCATCTGTATACACTCTACAAGGTATTTGTTATTGTTTGTATCATGAAACATTGTACATGCTCTTTTTTGGCACCCTTGAGCAACATTTTTTGAAAGTCAATTATCCATTCAATATTAAATTTTCCATTTCAAATTCCTACATTGTGAGACAATGCAAAGTGGTATGTGGAAAAAATTTATGATGGGCTGTATGTAAAACTAGTTATTGACATTGGGAGTTCCCAATTTCATTTTTGAGGGGGAATTTATAATAAAGATATTTATGGTGCCAGTTAATTTTAAAATTTATGTGGCATTGATTTATGCCAAAGTGTTAAATTGCATGAAAAGTTTGGATGAAATACATTACTAAAATCTATTACTTAAAAGTATTATATTATTCTTTTTGTACAAGCTTGTGGCACCCAATGACTATTAGACCACTACCTTGACTTTTAGGTTTCTGATTTGTTATAAATCATACCTTAATTCAACTAAACGTTTGTTTACATTTGTCAGGTCAAACTGGCTGAAATCAGCAGGTAGAGAGTCTAAATAACTGAATGTAAAATAATTTGACAAATGCTCTTGAAACAACTCGTTCACTTTGTTGGCATCAATTCCTCCCCGGCAGTTAACAATTGCACCCCCAGCAATTCGGACAGGTACAACCCGGTGGACGTTTCTTGTTGTTGGCATTGCCGATATAGATTCTTGGTGATCCACTACTCCAGTACACATGTGAAGGCACTTGCTCAGCTGGCTCTGTTTGGGGTCTTTTATAGACTGGACACAATGAAAATCATCTATAATGAGCAGGAGGAAGTTGTTGTCCTGTTGGGGAGGAAATTTTTAACTGGATCAGTGTACATCTATGGACTGATAAATTAGAGTCATTTTACTTAAACTGTGAAACAGGTAGAAGAATACTACGCACCATTATGTATTAATTCCATTGTCTTCTTTTGTTTACCTCTTGCTATTTTGCACTCTTTGTTAATATCTGTTTCACGGTTCAAATAAAATCACTCTATTTTTGTTGTTTTTGTCTCCTTGTTACAAGGTCCTTGTGCCTTCTATTTAGCCCCTGCTTCTTTACACCTCACCTTGTGTCAATTTATTGTTTTGGCCAGGGTGTTGTGCAGTGGCAGATGTTTAATAATGAATTGTTTCAGTATGTAAATACATGTACCTTTATGGCACTCTCAACGATCGCTTGTGTCTTGTGAATGCTTTTTCCAGACAATCCTTTTTTATGTTTTAGCACACTTCTCGGGTGAGTGCTAAACCCCAGAAGTGAGCCAGCTGTCAAAGCATCATCACTGGCACCATGAAAGGACAAGTGCAACCCACAGTCTTGTTGTAAGGGATTGTTTTTCTGTTGAAAACAAACAAGCAACACTTGTGTCTATTACACACCATGGTGTTTAATTTAATTTAAGTGTCTTTCTAAAGTATGGTTCCTGTTATTATTATTATTATTACTATTATTATTACTATTATTATTATTATCATTATCATTACCATTATCATTATTAGTGTTATTATTTATTTTATTTTTTATTATTATTATACACACTTGGTTTCTAAAGTAAGACAGCTGATGAAGCAGTGCCACAACTCGCAGTCTCAGTATTTCATGTCTTTTCTTAGAAAGCTGTTGTTTTTGATCATTCTTGACTAGACACAAGGCACGGTTGAACAATCCAGGGGTGCACTTGTTGGCAAATTTTTCCATGTCTGCAGGGTCGTATAGCCGCTGCCCTCCATCCTTGTAATGTTTAGTGAGACACTTGTGGAACGTTTTGAACTGCTCATCAAAAGTTGGCTCTGAAAATTAATAAAAAAATATTTCTATTAAAGGTTGAAACTAGTCGTCTTTGTTTTGAATGTGTGGAAATTAAGAGTACGTCAATACAATACCTTCTAGCTTGTTGCATCTTTCTTTTAATGCTGCATTTTCGCGCTGTAATTTGGTGATTAATTGTTTTGCCTCTGCTAGCTCATTAACACTCTGCAAAGGGGCGGTCTGAGAGGTTCCATCCCTCCAAGTTATTTTCTTTTCTGGGGTAGTACATAGGACTGAAGTAGTACATTTTGTCTACAAATGTATAGGGCAAAATTTAATGCAAAATATGAATATTTTCTAAAACAAAACTAAGAATGTGTGATCTGTTTCTGTACATTTTGACTGTTGTTTGAGTGTAAAAGACACATACCTTTCTCGTAGTAGGGGGTTTGTAGAGAGCGTGGTTGGTAAATATGGGAGCTTCGTCCACGAGATTTAGGTGGCCTGGGCAAAGAAATGCGCCTCCTTGGTAGTTTTCAAGGTTTGTTGCCACGGTGAGAATCCTCTGCGGACATGGCAGTAAATTGTTCCTTTGCGTGCAGGCATTTTCACTCGGAAAACAGCACCTCCTTTGACTTTCCACTTGCAATTTTTTTGCATGACCAAAACATAGCCAAACCGGCCTAGAGTAGCCACGTGAAACAGCCTCTTTTCCCGAATAGTAATTAGTGGCACCCCAACACTTTTCTGACACGCTTCTTAATCTGGAGCCACGTTCACAAACATTTTCCATTATTTAATCAACTTTGGACGTTCTTTCCGCCGGAAACGCACGCAAAAAGACCGGAACTTGACAGTGAAGCGGTCGGTAACTGTTTTTGGACATTTTTGAAGCTTTTTGAAGCGGGAAAAAACGAGCGGCGTCTCCAGTTTCATTCATAATTTCGCGCGCAAAGCATGAGGCCGGGAAGCTGGCGCCTACCAGTCAGTAAGTGGACACAAGCCGTAGGCGAAGAGTTTGATGTTTACAAATCTTTTCCTTTTTTTACTTGTCCAAGGAAATAGATTTTTGCGCTGCTATCTACCTTCTAAGTGCAAGAGGATCGATCCTTTTACAGGTAAGATTGGCTGTACATTTGTGGAAGCTTCTCACCGGCGATTACGTTCGAGTGTTGTCACCGCGAGGGGGATGCAAAAACAAAAAACAGCAAGCCACAGAAAAACGTACTGTTCGATTTTTTTACGTATTTCTTATTTTGCTTCTTGGCTTTTGGCCTTTTGGTTGGTCGAATTGTGAACCTTAAATACTCCACCTGTTTCTTATTTTTGCAAATTGTTTAAGAGCTATTGGTCGTATGATGTCTCTATGAACTACACACTGTCCCGCGTATTTTCAGCAAGCACCCTAAAGTGTATTCCTAATCTGATTTCGCTACAACTCTTGACATCGCCTGTCAATGAGTTCTAGTTTGGGGATATCAGATCATAATCACCGAACTAGTCATGGTTAACTATGTATTTGGCTTCAAACTTTGCTCTTTTTTGTAGACTACTTGATTCGTTGTAAGATGGTCAGCGGAGAGCACAAACTCCCGCGAAAACGGCAACCAATCAGCGGTTTTTCTGCCCTGCCTACTGAGGGTTGAATAGACCTCGGCTCCAACTTCTGTGAGAAATATAGGTCGTTTTCTCTCAGCTACAACTCGATTTGCTTGAGTGCTACCCTCACCTGTTGTCTCAACAATATTATTCGCCGTGAAGAACATTTCCATTCTTTCCACATATGCATTAAACGTTTCACGCTCGGCGATGAACTCGCCGACACGACCAAACAGTCCAGTGCTGGTCATTCCGGTACTCCACAATACACACAGCGTTGCCCCAAAAAAGTAAAGCAACAGCTTTGCGAGTGCATCGCGCTTTCTGTCAGTTTCGTCACCGCCTATGCACAACTACGACGTAAATGATCAAATCTTAAGTCAGTCTCTTGAGAACGTGAACGGCAGGCGATAAATTTTATTGTGTCTTTCTGAGCTCGGGCGCGGTCTTCAGCTTCATTTCCCAACCTTTAAAAGACTGGACAATTTGGAATTAATGAGAAATAGTTTGAATTAAGACCGGAATTAAATTTCTCAGTGGCGTTTTCGCTGGCGTTGCCGTTGCGTTGTCAGATCTTAAGGTTCCTTTTGTCTCTCACAGGAAGGAGGTTATAACATGTTAATATTATTTGTCAGACCATGTGTAAACGAGACACCCATCGGAGACGTTTATTGGGCTGCCATACACCTCAGGTTTGCTGCATAGATATATTGTACTATGGTAAATTGGGAAGTTAACCAGAGATAGATAGTCCACAACTTAAAAAGGGTATTAACACGTCCCTCCCCCCTCCCCCCATCCCCATCCCAGCCAGCACTTCATCTACCTCAACCGAGTACAATAGGGACCTTAATAAGTAACCAGAACGTTGACGTCCAGGACATTAAAAATGGAAACTGGAAGTGGATGTTTTCTGTCTTTCGGTGCTCTGACTCGACAAATTCGCACAGTGGAAGGTAAGAGGAAGAATTCAGATTCGTTGTGTGAGAAAGAAGCGTTCCATCAAGCGACGGTCAGCGTTCTCGTTGCTTAAGTTCGCTATTTTGTTTGACACGAAAACACAATGTGTCATAGGCTAAAGATAAGGAAAGGTTAATTAGATTTACATTTCAAAGGTGTTTTTTATTTATATCAGGATTATATCTTTTTCTTTTCATATTTCTATACGCTGTTTATATTCCCCTTCTTATTCCGGTTCCTACTCCACTTTTTCCCCTTATTTTTCGTATATAATCTGAATAGGAATTAAATCCAGAATTAACTTAAATTAAGGTAAATGTTGTCCCTGCTTTTATATAGGTTTCTCTTCCCATTCCGGTTCCTATTCCGGTTCCGGTTCCTGTTCCTGTTCCTATTACAGTTCCTATTCCGGATTCCGGATTCCGGATTCCGGCTTCCCGCTTTTCCAGACGTCCGTTCCAACGACAACTTTATTTCCAATAGCATTGTGGGTAATGACAGCTTTCTCAGAGGGTACTCAATATATTACAGCCAGTACTAGTTATCATGTATATATTGGGTGTGCAGATCTAACGTTAACCCTACTTTCAAGAGAAGAGTTTTCGAGCTTGAAGACAGCACCGGAAATCCTTCTCCACTTATTGTGCTTCAGTATGTATTTGAAGGAGATCCAAGCAGTATGGAAGTAAAACCACACGGGAGATCAAAAAAGAATCCTCGCCCTTTCTTTACAACAGCTTCTGGTACACGAATAAAAATGTCACAGCAGGCGAGTTCTTCAGGGGGACCGTCTTCAATATATGATCAGCTCTACCAAGAAGCAGGTGATGTGTTATCTCGAAAAGCATCCGCCGATGTTCCCAGAAGTATAGATCAAGTCAAGTATGAGCCGAAGAAACTTCGAAACCAGCATGAAAAGGATTAGTTAGCTGAGTTAATTAGTCTCTCGAACAATCGCTTTGTGCGAAATGTGCAAGTTGGTTAAGATGTCAGGGCAGTTCGTGCAATTGAGGAACAAATAAAAAATATTGGCTGATGTTGTTGGGTTTTGCTCTAACCTAGAAGAGTATGGTTGTTTTTGATATTGATGTTACCTATAAGTGTTCCACTTCATTGTTTATACTACATGTGGATGAGACTGATGGTTCTCATCGAAATTACAAACATGACATGAGTTAGATAAATCATTTCTGCTAAGCCTTCATACGTAATATATTGATCTGGGCTCAGCAAACTGTTCCTAACTGCACGAACTATACGACAAAAAACGGATAATTTAAGGAAGACAAAGCGGCAAGTTAGTCAATTCATTACTAATCCAATAATTATTGCTATATTTCAATTACCTGCTTAGCTCCACCAATATCAAAGTTTGGAGTAACCAATAAACATAACCTTATCTAATAAAAACCACGGTGATTCTAAAATCCAATTACAAATTCATTTATTTCCTTCTTCTTTTCTTTCTTTTAGTTTTCTTCTTCTATAATCCTTACCCTTCTCGGACTAGGAACTCACGTCTACAATTGTACAAGAATCCAAGTTCCGTTTGCCAGCCATACATGTATTTGTTGAAAAGTGAACGTAGAAAGTGAAACCGTGAAATTTGGACCAAGAGACACAAAAATGAACGGTGTCTCAACCTATTATTTTTAAATACCTTCAATTTGCAAAAAGAAGCAAGATATTCTGAACCGAACTGACCGCTTTTCGTTTATCAGTTATAATCCGAAAAGCTGTCTTGATTTGTTTACTTTAATTCTTAATCATCTGTAAATCGTTATCCAGTCATCCACGACTTGTTTGTTCACCAATAGACCTTGTCACGGTTTTCGACGTCATCTTGAGGAGTAGGCAAAAGCGTTAAAAATTACAGTGTTTGTATGAGAATCTAATGTCGAATAATTTCCGCAGAACGGCTATTCTGAAAAAAATATCAATTGTAAACTAAAGCTTCACTCCTAAGGATTCCAGTGAAAAAAAAATGAGGGGGTTACATGCGCTAAAAGACCTAGAACCACTTTTTTGAATTTTCTTTACATTTGTCTGTAAGAAAGTCCCGGGAAAATTACGGACAAATATGTGGAAAATCTAAAGCAAGCCTCTGGAGAAATTTAAGCACAGGTACGCCCCCCTTTTTTTTTAGTACAATCCTTTGTTTCGTAGCTTTAGTTTACAAGTCATATTTTTTTTTTCAGAACAGCCGTTTTAGGGAAATTATTCGACATTAGATTCTCATGCAAACACTCTAATTTCTCACACGTTTGCCTACTCGTCAAGACGGCGTCGAAACCCGTGACATGGTCTATTAGTATCAGTATTCTCGAGGCCAAAACTGTAAAGAATTGAATGTTTCAATGACTGTGTTGATTTATAGACTCAGCTTGAATACTAAATCACTTTTAAAACTATTTGCTTATATTGCATTTCGACCACTTAGTAAACCAATTAGAACCTTGGAGAAGCAACATAAAAAAAAACTTGAGTTTATCAAGTACCGATTTGTTTATAAAACTTTTCTTGCTCGCTAATCACTTGAAGGACTATTTGCCTATATTGCACAATCGTCCACGACTGGACAAGTAGCCATCGGATTTAAGAATCACTTTAATTTTTTTTTTTATTTTACAATTTAAAAGTAAGGTAAAAATCAAAGAAAAACTTAACTCTTTCGTTGACTAAGTTTGAGGGCTATGTTTGGTGAACACAAACTTGAGTTATAAACTAAGTAAATTAGGCAAAATAAAAAAAATCAAACTCTGACGTTTCAAGGGCTTAAAGTTTTCGTCAGGACGATGTGCATGTAAATGCATTTTGAATAAAAAGAATTTTAAACCACTTGACAAATCATGTTGTTATAACTTACAAATGATCTTAGACTAGTGCTATAAACACCTAGAAGTGAACAGTGCCTGCTACAGACTACACTAGTACAAAATCGTTTATTCTAGCCAAATGTATGCAAGATGAAAGAGCCAAATTCTATCCTATTTCAGCTATTTATGTGTTTGACGAAGAAAAACAATAAAACTGAGTTTTCAATGAAACAAACTATATTTCGAGGTAAGGTAAAACAAAAGCTTGGTGATACCTTGGACATGGTTCTATCAAAGCTTTAATTTCAAATCAGTGTGATGTTATGCGAAACCGCGACCAGCTCAGTGTTCGGGGAAAATTAACTATAGATTTATTTTGTTTCTTGCTATAATCTTCAGCGATATTGTCAAGTCATCCAAAAATGATCGATTAACCACTTATTTTCACTACGTCAGGCTAAAACAACATAATACAACCTACGTAAAACGGTCACCTTTATCAGCTAAGATGAGGGGTTTTAATGATAAGAGTCACTTTCATTCACACGGGAAAAGCTGGCGGTCGGTTGACAGGGGTCGACACTGAGGTGTCTATTATTTCAAATAGCACTTCTCATTCTCAGACTAGTGGCAGTTAAAGCCTAAACTGGACTTGTTTCAGATGCGAAATTTAGGAAAATGAAAGCAATTTCCTTTTAGAACATTTAAATCATGAAAACGACGGCCGATGGCTCTTCCTTAAATATTCCACGACAACGACACGAAATGTACCACTTTGCAATCAGGATTCCTTAACATAATGAAAATGATGTTAAACAGTCGTTATCAGGAGAAGATAGGGATACTCTGCAGAATTCAGAACCATTTTTTTTAGCATGTATGGATGATTAATAAACTTTTCACTAATAACACTTGTTTAGTATCTCGTCTCAACTCGATAGTATTTTTGTCCGTTCGCATTTTACTGCAACCGAGCCAACCACTGAGTGCCAGCACCGCCAGATCTCTTGCGGACCTTGATCGGCTAAATACACTGTACGTTGAAACACAATGAATATTGACAGACTTATCGCAATGGCAATGATAAAGGCCAACAAATGGGTAAAAATGAAATAGCAATATATTTAAAAAATGGCCTTTTTAACCACATCGCCATTACATATACAAAATTTGCTTTCCCGTATGCATCTTAATCAACTGCATCATGGGAGAGAGTAGAACGTTCTCACTTCCGGGCCAGTATCTATGCAAATATATTAAAAACAAACAAAGGTTTTTACATAAGAATAAGGTCAATTCCCACGGGACCGGTTTACATTGTTTACACTGTTTACAGGTAGCCATTACGACACCTGAAAGAGGACCGATAACCCACCCAGCACAGGAAGAGTGACCACATCACCCGGGTCTGCTTGCCCTACTCCTTTCAATCGAACAGTGGTGTGGGCTTATTTACGTCCCACAAGAGCCAAGTGGAAGTGCTGTGAGACGGGACCTACGCTTTACCCTCCTTATCCTTGGTTATACACCAGAGTGGATGCTGTTTCATTGTTTTGGGACACCAGTCAGTGGCGAACATGACGACATATCCTCTATTTCTGAACGCACTAACAGACTAAAAGAACCAAACTGTTGCTGAAGCTATTTCTATTTCAGTTTCAAAGACTTAAAAAATATTAAACTTTTTATATCAGGCAAAAGCAAATAGGCCGGGAGGCACTGGCCGGGAATCGAACCCGGGCCTCCCGCGTGGCAGGCGAGAATTCTACCACTGAACCACCAGTGCTTTTACGTTCATATTCATTGAATTTGCAGGATTGCTTTTGAAATCTTATTGGATATATACATCAAGAAAATTACGCAAAAAGTTTCCAGAATTTTCTCAAGATCCTAAGTATATTCCTCTAAACTTAGTCTCATTGCAATGCCAATAATCTTTACACGTTTCAAAGTGCGTTATATTCACTGTAATTTCCTTAAAAAAGCATAATATAGAAAGACATCGGAAACTGCAATAACGAGGAAAAAGCAACGAATCAATCATCTATACCATCCAAGGATCGTAGGCTATATCTGAACTTAAGGAAAAAACCGCTTGTACACTAAACTAAAGACAAAAGCAGCGAGCAGAGATATAATAACAAAACAGCAAAGGCAACGAGAACAGTTTCCAATATTTCGTAATTCTTTACGCAGCACTCTAGAACCTCGGCCAGGATCCATTGTTTCTATTATCTCTATATTATTTTCTCAGCCAATCCAGTGAGGCGTTGTTACCGACCATTTTCCTCTACGGAAATTCGTTTATTTGTTTTCAGCATAAAAGCCGTAAATTAGAAATATGACAAAAGTTTAAAATTTATGCTCTTGATATCGCTAGACGTATCGGTGTATTTCATGTCTGCAAACATTCCGTTTCGTTATTACGAAAATGTTCCTAACACGGACACAAAAGTCATTATTGTTTCAGGAGCCAGAAATCCCCTGGCTGGCACATTCAATCGGTAACACGAAACATGGCGAAAAAAAAAATATAACGAACAGTCCTTGATAAGATAACAAGTTATCAGAAATATAAATAGGAAGGTTTAAAAAACCAAGTTGTGTTTGCAGTTCAGTTCGCCGGTAAATGAGCTGTGTGAGGGCAAATTGAAAAAAAAAAACAAGAAGCAGACATTCAAAAGGAGAGACAGCACAATAGATGATACACCAGATTTGGTGGTTATTTTGTAGAAAACCTAAGCTAGCAAAATCCTGGAAAACAACTGGGCTGCGGTGGATGTTAGACACTCCCTCGACTTGAGCAATTCTTTGTTCAATTGTTTGTTTTCTACCCTATAATGTTGTGCGGGGTGGCACTGTCAAATGGATGGGAGAATTAACTCTGTATTAGAAGACTTAAGCGCTAAAAAGCCTACTAAACTGCACTGAACATTAACACTTGTAAAAGGAGTAGGTCACACAAGGCAAACTAAAAGAACCAAACCCACGATATTTCCGTGCCAACGGAATCTGTTCTATCTATGACCTTAACTGACCCAAATCTAGCCCTTGCGAAGGACCTCGTAACTTCGTCGGTGGAGACTAGGTAGGGTATAGATCAGGGCGGATAAAGGTTGGGCGGTGAAACAAGCGCGTCCAAGCAAAAAGGTGTGATGCAGTGGACTGGGATCAAATTATGCTGAATAAAACGGCTTGTCTGGTTTCTTGCATGACCGGCTTCATTACCAATTTTTATATTCCCGTTCTGTTGCTCGCCACTGTCGATGCATGATCTTCCAAAAGAAACAACTTGACAGAGTGTTTAGCACGGATTCCACCTAAAATAACTTTGTACGGACGTCTTTTTAAGATACAATTACGTGGGATGTCTTCAGGCCATAATGATTAGTAGTGATCTCCTGTTTGCAATCAAAAGGGTCAAGTATATCTTCAAGCAAACAGGATGATTTTTTAGGTTTCCGAAGCATCAGAAGCTTGACAAGTAGGCGATGGCTGCAGAAAAGCGACAAACATGTTGGCCTAAACTTCACATTAAAACCGAATACGAAAGCCAGCTCACTACAATTCAGTAAAACAGAAATAAAAACAAATCGTGGTTACATTGCAGATAAGAAGGTAATACTTGGACTTTAGGCACTTATTCAATTGCGATAATAATTACACATAAATCACAAAGGAGCAACTCTAAATTTGTTAAACGCCAGTGAAATGTCTGACATGGTTCTCGAATGCATGTATTATTTTTGTTGGCAAGCTCATTTGGTAAAAAAGGGCACTTTCCTAGGTATAGTATAGCCATCCTCATATTATTACATGTGCTCTTAGTCATTATAGAGACGGTGATGACCGGCTATTATGTGACATTGAAATATCAGGCAAAACCCAGAACTCTCGCCTGAAAAGTGTTTGCCACTTTAAAGTGACTCGATTCTACTTAACTTTGCTTTGCAAACAACATAATTGGACTTTAGGCAGTTATTCAATTTAGATGTAACTATTGTATTTATAAAATATTGCTTTCATCATTCGTTAAGAATTAAGGATTATATACTCTTCTGGGCAAAGTATTGCAAAGCAAGTCACAGCAAAAAACAGCCCAGTTTGAACGTGGTTAGAATCACGACCTACGTACTTAGATATGGGAACTATGAGGAGGTCACTACTTGCTATATTTTTCTCTCCTTTGTAAGAGTTCATTACTGTATCGATAAATACTTAGCAACAGAATCTTCAAAGAATATGACACGCAAACACTTATCCCTTAAAATCATGATTGGAAAATAATCTGAAGGTTATCGTTAATTTATTATTATTTTTTTCTTTATTTGTTACTTCATTTAAGCGTAGTAGTTATTCGGGAACTTGCGTTAGCTTTTCTCAGTTTTTTTGTTGCTCGATAATCATGAAGTGGTTTGAAGATAAGCAAAGAAGTCGTGTCGGAACTTGTTTGATTCAGGCACTGAGTCAAATTCTAATCAATAACAAGCACCACCCACCCTGAGGGAGTCACTTTAAATAGGTTGCAACCTCAAATGTTTGGGGATTATAGAGATCAACAAAAACAAGGCAACAGTCATCATTCATATGACATTGCATTGAATTTTCAAAGTTGCTTTTGTTAAACTACGCAATCGTTTCAGTGCGATCTCTCTTTTGGCCGCGTAAGATCTCTACCCCGGGTCTACCATGTAAGCGCATACTGACATGAACATATAATAATATAATATCACAGAGCCTGGGTTACCTGTGCTTGAATTAATGATATGGTGATGATGAAGATAAAAATCGAAACAACACCCACACGTATAACGATATACTGGGTGTGGCGAAATGGCTTCATGATCACAAACTGACTTTAAATTTGGACAAAACTAAATGCATGCTCATCGGTAGTAATAGGAAACGCGAAAGCAAAGTAGATTTGACTGTTTCAATTTTAGATCATAGTATAAGTAATGTTCGCAGCTTTAAATACGTCGGTATACATATATCTTCGGATTTCACATGGACTGATCATATTGAACACCTAACTGGGAAAATCAATCAGAGACTTGGGCTTCTCAAGCGTATAAAGCATTTATTGCCTTTCAGGGCTCGTCTACTTTTCTATAAAGGTCTTGTTATGCCCCTTTTTGAATATGCTGATCTAGTATGGGGCGATAAACATAACATTACCCTTATGTCTAGTTTGCAAGTTTTGCAAAATAAGGCCGCTAAAGTTATTTTAATAAATAGACCATTGTACTCATCCTCCACTGAGGCATTAGCCGTTCTCAAGTGGCTGCCTCTAGAGAAAAGGCGATTTCAAAGAAGGTGTGTACACGTATACAAATGCATCAATGGCCTAATTAATCACGATATGGACTTGATTGGACAAGACGTACTTCATAGGCATAATACACGTAACAAAGGCAATTTTAGATTACCACGTGTCAAAGGAAATTGGGGGAAGCAAAGAACACAATATCATGCCGTTTCCGATTTTACCTCCCTCAGTCAGACGATCAAAGACTCAAGGAATGTAATTGGTTTTAAACGTAATGTTTTTAAGTTTTTGATATAGCTACTTACGTTTAATTTTTACTTATACTTATTTTTAATTTTTTATGCATTTTTTGTATCTTTTTAATCCCTTTGCAATTTTATAGCTTTTTTTTGTTTTTAAATATATATCTAGTTTTGAGGCCCTTGTTGAAAACCATATCTTTTCTGAAAAAGTTTCCTCAATAAAGATGATGATTATTTTTTTTTTTAAAGGGAAGTTTGTGCGAGAAGGAAAACAAACAAGTATAACTACCATAAAAGGAAACGACATGAGAAAATAACCAGCAACAGTAAAACAGGAACAATACAAATATTTACTATTTAAACTGATAAGCACGTAGCACTGGTCTATTCAGTCAAGTGTGCTGGTTCAACTCTCATCGTTATGATGGTTCAGTGTTTTGCTGTTTTGTTGATTCTCTGTATTTCTGGGGGATCACTGGGAACAACAACTTCACCTCAGCAACAAAACACCGAAAATTTAAAAGACTTATGCGAGGTATGAAATAACTATTCTGCTATTGCAGACATTTTTGGGTCATTTCTAAGGCAGTGGGTGAAAAAACATTGCATTGCATGAAAACGGTTTGCTACGAAGTATATACTAACAGAATCTAAAGCTTCCTTTTTCATAGCCTGCAGTGCTCTCTCTGTGCTTTATGGATTTTTTAGTTGACGTTTGTGTTGATATTTGTCCAAATTTTGGTCTCACGTCTCATTTGTAATAAGACCTACCTTTTAAACAACTTATTTCTCAGTTTCTCGATAAAAGACGGGTATCGTTAGCCGGTCGTATGATATCAATAGAATTAAGGATAGTGCTGTGCTTTTTTCAACGACGGGATTTATTATTATTATTATTATTATTACTATTATTATTATTAGCGGAGCTCCCGCGCGCGAAGCGCGCGCGGCGGAGCACCATGGGTAAGAAAATTTGGTAAACTATCCATCCCAGAAAATTTGGTTTTGACGTAGCGTACGCCCGTTCGTACACACACTTCATGTAAGCCGATGTCAAATGTCACAATAGATCTTGCACAACTTGACTAGCCTCTTAGTTATGTAAGCCATCCGTATGAGTACGATTAGATTGACAGCTGTCAAAATCAGACATCCGCTAACAATTATCACATGACCGTCTCGCGGGCTTAGATAAAAGACCAGTCGTTTTGCCCCTATATATAAGCTGATATAATATGTCACACTTACCAATTCAACATAAAAACGAAACTACGCCGGGCAAGGCTGTCAGTTGGCTGACAGTCGTTTAAAGTTAACTTGGCAAGCCAGATTAAGGTCAATTGACAGCTGTCAGAATGGGACATGTGCAGACCGCTATCAGAAAACTAATAACGAGGGCTCAGGTTCGCTCAGGTACACGATCTGGCATTTTCCACTACATGCCGGCCGGAAATGTCCTACTCACACTCCTAGTCTGTGAATTCGAATATTCGCCATTGTAATGAAGGTTAATTGACAGCTGTCAAACTAGAGGATACGCTGACCATCATCACCTGAGTGGATCGCAGGCTCACTTTTCTATCTATTGAGGTCACGTAGTGTTTAAAGTTTTGCGCTAATATTTTATTTGATCACGGGCTCAATTCGAAGCCCCATAGCTTTATAGAATTTTTATCCATCCTAGAAAATTCGGCAATCATGTGACCGTACTCTGACCACCCAACCTTCCGCCCGTCCGCACCACAGGCATACCAATGTTTAATCTCACACTTTCTAGCTAGTTTGGGAGCCTGCAACCTGATATTGTACATCCATGTTTTGATTAATTGACAGCTGTCAAAACAGTGTTTCTGCTGACCAGTATCGCCTGACCGTATCGCGGGCTCAGGTATCGACCCTCTGAGTTCGAGTAATATTTTGAAGGTATTCGCTGACAAGTTGCTACTTTTCAAATGATCGCAGGCTCAAGTTCAATTTTTTTAAAATGCATATGAAATAGGTCGTGTTTCATGAGCCGCACTTTTAAAATGTTGATTTCGAACTGATCTCGGACACGAAAATTCAACCGGTTTTTACATTTACAGGCAGGGAAGGCAATCGCTTTTGACTTTTCTCACTGTCACGCGTTGATCACGCTCTACGTCCAATTTTTTTGTTCTGATTGGTCAAAATTTGACAGGTGAGTTTATGCGGAAAATTTTTGCAGCGTCTGGAAACTTGCTTACTGATAGCTGGAGCTGAGAGAGTTTTGTGTCATCTTGTGATGTTTTAAAATGTCTTTTTCTACTTGGTGTACAAAATGAAATGCAGCTGCTATCAAGATTGTTCTGTAATTCGTCGCTGGTTTGTTTATTGCGCTTTTTGTTGACAAATGCACCGCTTGTCAAAGTCATTGGAAATCCGATTTCGGATGGCATCGTTTTCAAAAATGAGCTTACTCACTTGCCCTTACTTGAGGCGTAAGAAGGTTGAAAAGTCTCAAGCGATTCTGGAACACTTGATGACCTTCAGAAGCAGCATCTCGACTGGTAAGCTTGAGCCATTATTGTTTTTGATGTTTTTCTTTTTTTTTTCGGTTTCCTGAAGTCGAGCGTATGGTTTATGCCGCTTAAGTTAAAACACGAGCAATGATCTAACCTAAAATAGTATCAGGTTTAAAAAGCCTTTAGACATTTTTTGACCCGCAAATTCAAAGAAAAGGTTCCGACGATTATTTAGTTATGATTTTGGCTGTAAACAGAAAGCTCTGAGCGATTTTCTTGCCTCGAGTTCATCTTGAAAAAGAGCGAACACCGGGAAGCCGGCTTAAAACATAAATAAGCTTATGCTTGCCTGACTCATGATTTTCTGAGACACCTTACTCTCAATACTTCTCTTCGTGAATGAAAATTATTGTCTCTGTACATGTTTCACCGAATTAAACTTATTTTATTGATTTTTAGTAGTCCCTCTCGCAATTTTCATCGCTCCACCGGTTGTTTCCAGTCGAACATAAACATCGCATGTAGGAATACTCAAAACGCCGCGTGTATTAAAATATCACTCGCTTTTAAAGATTACACATAACAAAATCATACACAGTTTAATGAATAAAGGGAAATAAACCCTAAACATAACAATTTCTCTATCATGTTGAAGCGTAAATGGTAACTTTGTTAATCGCACTGCAAATTTGGTGCTTGTCAAAAGTGAGAACCCGTCCGGCTGGCCGAAAAGTGATTTTGGGAATTTTTTTTAACGTTTTCATTGAAAGCCCATAATTATTACCCCGCATATCACATAGGACCAGATTTTTCTAACAGAAAACGTTTTATAATTCAATGCTATAATTTGTTGTGCCAAGGAAGCGCGTGCTCTGATCGTCGTGGATACTGAATGAGTGCAAATTCTCTTGCAAAATTGTGAAAAACTGCAGAATTATAGGTTTAAATAGGGGCAAAAAAGAACAAATTCTGTCCGAGGTCTGTGTACTGTTTACCTAAGACGTGATGAGAAAAAGTATGTTTAAAAGGCTGGTTTACACGCCACCAGATTCGTCGCCAAGATTTACTAGTAAACTAAATAAACTTGTCGAACACAAAAAATCCGGCCTGATTTTTATTTTGGCCTCTCTTTTAGACAGAGGAATGCAACGTGTAAATTGGCGGCCATCAAGGACTATCGTGGCGCATGTGTTTCTTAAAATTATATTTCGGGGCTGTCCAATTATCCATAGTCTCTCTAACGGAGCAATGTTGGAGAGACTGGTGAATGCCACATTATGATGCTACAGCTAATGCAAATACAATACACGAATAGGTCTATTTGTTTTCCAGGCCTAATCGACTGTGATGGAACATGATTGCTATTTTTCGGTGTACAAATAACTTGATGTAAAATTTGTTTCACTCTTGGACGGTCAAATTCTGATTTTTCTCTAAAATCACTCAGCCTTTGCCTCAAAAGTCAAGTGAATGTGCCCTGCCTGATCTGTGGATTACCAGTTTATTGTTTGATTTAAATTATGAATTTATTAACGGGAGCTTCGCTTTTAGCCCTGGCTAAATCTATATATTATTATTATTCTCATTCGTATAAAAGCCGGCGCGTGACGATTTAATCAACTGAATTACTGCGTGCTCCCTCGGGAAGCAGTCTATTGGTCCTTTACGGTCCCCAGGGAAATTCCCTAGGCCTTTTATACGCCCTAGCAAACAAATTCACCGTCTTCTCGCAAGTCTACTCTACAACGGGCAAGCAAGTTTCATTCTTCCGCAACGCGACCAGCGCCGCTGAAGCTCTTTCATGGCTCTCGTCCCTTTTTAACCAGACCCAGCTGATGCGGTAGCTATTGCTTCGACAGAACCTCAACCAGCACCAACACCATCCACCTAAGTATCATGTTTTAATTTCTCGCTTCCCCCTTTTCTTGTCAATTTGTCACATACGTGGCGTTTATCTTTTTCACCATTCTGTTCTGGAGTTTGTTTACGTTAGCGCTTTTAGGCGTCTGTGCGACGTACCAGAGGTAAGGCGACCCTTATTTGATTATTGTCGCGTCTTTTTCGTTTGTTACAGTAGAACGAAAACGAGCCGGAACATATTTACGTTGGCGCTTCATGGCGTCTGTGAAACGTAAAGGAGAATCTCAACAGTGCAGTTCATTTGAATGTATTTAATTACGTTGGCGCCCTTCGGCGTCTGTGACACGTATAATGAAGAGAAAGACATTACGTTGACGCTTCTTAGCGTTTGTGAAACGTAAAGGAGGATCCTAGCAGCTCTACTCAGTGGCATGTTTTTAATCAGTTACGTTGGCGCCTTTTGGCGTCTGTGAAACGTACAATCAAGGGATAGACATTACGTTGACGCTTCTTAGCGTTTGTGAAACGTAAACGAAGATCTCACCAACGCAGTTCGGTGGCATGTTATTAATTTCGTTGGTGCCCTTTAACGTCTGTGAAACGTACAATGACGAACAGACATCTTTGGCTTTACTTCGCGACCGTCCATCGTACATTTGTCTACAGTCTTTGATGCTTTATGGCATTTTACGTGTATGTATTGAAAGATTTTAGAATAAGGTGGCCAGTTGTTTATTTTTTTCCCGTTCGTTTCCTACTCATTGTATTGTCAACATTTTGTATAATTTCTGCACATTGCATTGTCAGCATACTCCGTGCCCCCTCGCAGCTGTTCCCTTGAGACGTCTCACTTTTTATATTGTGTTTATTCTTCTTCACCTATTACACTTGTGATCTTAGAGGTCACATAATATAGCAGAAACAGAAGGTGACGTAACTCCTAGATATCAGTAACCGCATTCTCTTTACTCTAGCGTACAGCCTTAATGAATTTGCACGAGTTTCCTTGTATATTATATTTTTCTTTGGCTTTTGCTTCCTATATTTCCTTACCCCACACTTGAGTCTTGCTCAGGGGGGGTTCCTAAACACACCCCTCATCCAGTCTTCGGACGGTGTCCTGACTCGACTCAACTGTGGGGTTCCCTCCCAGCCTCCCTCTTTCGTAGGGTCTTTCCTTCTTTTTATCTCCTCCCATTCGGATTTCTCTAACCAGGTTACACATGCTGGTAGCCACCCTTCAGCTTTCCTTTAGCGTATCCGGGAGGGCAGGCCCCACAGTTGGGCCGGGCCACTCCCCTCAACTGAATCCGTCACATCTGGGAGGCATTTCGCCAACACTGCCCATCTCTCTAAGGGAGTTTTTCTGGGTTTTTCTGAGTTTCGGGGAGATTTGACTGTAGTGCAAGTTAATGAGGTATTCTGCAATAATTTACCGTCTTTTGGATGAGTCTATAGCACCCCTGGTGTCGGGCAAAATTTTTCACCCATAACTTATCCATCAAAAGGTATAAGGTGGCTTTTATGCGAATGTGAATTAGTTACTATTCTCATTCGTATAAAAGCCGGCGCGTGACGATTTAATCAACTGAATTACTGCGTGCTCCCTCGGGAAGCAGTCTATTGGTCCTTTACGGTCCCCAGGGAAATTCCCTAGGCCTTTTATACGCCCTAGCAAACAAATTCACCGTCTTCTCGCAAGTCTACTCTACAACGGGCAAGCAAGTTTCCCCACCCTCCTCCCCTTCAGCGGCGCTGGCTAATTTTCTCTATCAGCCCACCTTCTGCCTTATGCAAAATTTTTCACCCATAACTTATCCATCAAAAGGCATAAGGTGGCTTTTATGCGAATGTGAATTAGTTACTATTATCATTATTTACCCAGGAGTTTAGTCGCCGTCGTACAAGCCATTTGAACCGATCACTTTCTCTATATATACACATAACAGTAGCACTTACTTAAATAAGCCTGTGATACAAAATTCGTCTTAATTTCAGAAATCTATACTGGGTCATGGTTTTCCGGTCATTCCAGGGTCAAATGGCATGCCGGGAGTGCCGGGCGTCCCGGGGCCACAAGGACCCCTGGGAAGGGAAGGTGTAAAAGGACAAATCGGTGATAAAGGATCACAAGGAATGCCGGGTCCAAGAGGAGACCGAGGGCGCGAAGGACCTCCCGGGAAGAGCGGACCCGGAGGAACGAAAGGCGTAAAAGGTGAAACGGGACTTGTGGGAATGAAAGGAGAGCAAGGCATTGTGGGAAATCAAGGAAGAAAAGGAGACAAAGGAGAGAAAGGAGAAGGCGCCAAAGCAAGTCAAGCAAGTGTAGTACCACAAACCAACTGGAAACAATGTGTCTGGAAATCAAACATCCCTACTGATAACGGGAAGATAAAGGTAAGCGAGAAATATGCTAAATAATTGGCATAAATCACAAGAAAAGTACACGATCTTATTCCATAGAAAAAGGTAGAAAATTTAAGATTTTGCTGAAATTAAACTGGAGTCAAATAAATAGCTCTGAGAAGATAAATCTCCTTCCCCTTCCCGTAATCATCACTCCGTTTAACCTCCTATTCAGTTGATAATTATTTCCTTTCCCACTTAGTATTACAATAATAGAGGCGTAACTAAATAGATTTTGATTGTTTTCCAGGATTGTGCTTTTAACAAATTTAAGTCTGGTTCAGCGCTCAAAGTCTCGTTCCAGGGAAACATGTGGGCCCAGGGTGATAATCAGTGTAATCGCTGGTATTTCAAGTTCAATGGAAACGAATGTTGTGGACCAATGACGATTGAGGCTGCTGTTTACAACGACTGGACATCAGGGAACCCTGATCTGCTGCATCATCGGTCCTTTGAGGGATACTGTGAAAACATTCCACAAGGCGCAGTTAGAGTGGAATTATGGGTAGGAAAGTGTAGTAGTGGCAGCACCTTGGGTGGTGCTTACACCGGATGGGAGTCAGTGTCCCGGATAATGATTGAAGAAGTATCTAGGCCCCAGTCATAGTCTTGCCCAGTCTTCGGCCAGGTTTTTTTATTTTCATTTTCTTTTTTCTGAAGGTTTTTCTACAGTCGCCGAACGCCAGTGTCAAAGGTTTGCAAGATCTCTACATGTCTAATTCGCATCTTCATATTTCAAACATAACTGAAAAAAACTGTATCAGGTTTTTAACAAGTTCAGGCTATCCTATTTCTTGAGATCGACTATCACCTAAAAAACATAAGCGCTAAGCTAAGACTATGGCTTTCTTTCGAAAATTTTATATATCATACTTTTCTTGAAAAATAAGATTATATTTTGGTACTCAAACTAGTTTAAGACTCATTTAACCAGACACGCAGTGTTACTTCTCTGCACACACAGTGTAAACCAGACTTTTAAATTTAAAATAACCGGGACTGATTAATGCGTGTTCGATATAGGTGTAGCTTTAATCGCCATATCGAAAGAAAAATTTGGAAGAAAGGAGATTAGATCAAAGGAGGAGAAGGAAACCTAAACTTTTCTTTAGTCGTGATCCGAGTGATAGACCATTCTCGGATCACGCCAAGAAATAATAATATAATAATAATCATAAAAAAAACTGCCCGCCAGTAAAATTTATATAGCAAAGTTAAGAAGGTAAATAAAGTTAAAGCATAACTTGAGTATTCTTCTATTTACAGTTGTATCAGTTGAAAGAAATGGGACCTTACTTTTCTCTGTTTCTTGTAATGAAGAGAGTCGTGAATGAGAGGACAACAGACATGCCCTATTTACAATACATTTTTAACATGTGAACAGTACGCTCGGACGTCAGCACACAAAGGCGCCTCTGGCAGCCGCTCTCAGTCCATTTATGAGCTTACTGTACCCACCCACCCCACGATGTGAATGATGTGATGTGTGAAGGTTTACCGTTTCTCTTTTCTTTCTCCTCCTTTTTTTGCTCCCCTTTTTTTTTAACCATGAGCGTAAAAGGAAGGCATACGTATACGTCGGTCCCAACATGTATCGTATTACTTTTGTCTTCACCCTTGTTAGCCACCGTGTCGACCGTGCTCGAATCTTAGGCGTGCGTAATAAAAAAGCGTTTTTTATCATTATTGTCCCCCGGGAGAATAACATGCCATATGCATACGCCATGGCAACAAGTGTAAAAGCTGTCTTAGTCTAACAAGTGCACGGTGAAATCAGACCCGGCTGGCAACGACACAACAAAGACATGTGCATGGCTTAATAACTATTTAACTTCTTCACTATATAATATTAAAATGGTTTGGAAAGTGATGCTAAATTTAAAACACAGTGACTGTCAGCTTAGGGCGATTGTTTTAAGTTGAAACGGAATATTAAAGTTTTTTTTCCCCAGACTGGAGAACCGAACAAAAACTCAAGCTCAGTGTCTCTCATTACGCTGCCGGAAAGATTCAAGTGTTGTTTCTAACATAAGAGAGCCATCAGTGCGAAAAAGTTTTCATAGCGTAATCACCTTTTTTGTAAATTACAACTTTTGGTTCGAATTCTTAAGAACCGATGCAGGTCAGATGCGAAATAGCACTTCTATTGCATTATAGCAGGGACATCAATTGTCCAAATTCCTCCCTGGGAACGAAGGTTAACATCATTCGCTATTTGCCCATCTTCCATAATACACCACGTTTTCATCCCAAAATTTTGTTAAACCGTTGTTTCCAAATTTCCTGGGGTATTGTATAGTTGTTTCAAAACAGTGCTTATGCAATTGTTTTTTTCTACGGGAGGGGGAGGGGGGCAAACAAGGTGTTTTACGGGAGATGTGCAAATGGCGAATACCAAGTAACCGATTTATTCTTTTCTCACTCAATTGCCAAAAAATACATTCAAGAGGGAGCTCATCCTTTCTTGTTACATTTCATGCCATTTTCATGGTATTTTATTTTCCTATGTCAAAAAGAAATGCACTGGCCGGGAATCGAACCCGGGCCTCCCGCGTGGCAGGCGAGAATTCTACCACTGAACCACCAGTGCCTTGTGGAATATTTGCTGTTGATTAAGCAACAGTACCTAAAGTGACTACGTCGTCTGAAGTCTTTTTTATTTCCTGTTTCCTGTTTAGTATTTCGATGAAGAGTAACTGCCATTTTTTTCTTTCACTTAATGGAGATAAACACAGTTAACATCTTTATTACGAGGTGATTCTTGGCCAGACCAGGCGGAGCATTAGTATGCATACTGCTGGTATAACTTACAGATCATTTATTCCTCCTGTTCTGGATTATTTAGATACCGTTCGGAACTGTTGCGGACTCACGAATACTGATAATATAGAAAAATTACATAGACGTGTGGCAGGGATTATCATGCAAACCAACAGCAGTGGTGAAGCGCTAGCTCACCTTAAATATAATACGCTGGAACTTAGACGGGAGATTCACGCGATAAACCTTGTGAAGAAATGTTTAAATAAGCGCTGCCCGCAATTTTTAATGGACTACTAGAGATATCGTACAGAGAAAAACGCGGCAAAGAAATCATCTCCGTCTTCCCTCCATCAAATTAGAATGTACGAAAAAAGCTTTGTATTATCATGGATGTGAAGTTTTTAATCGTAATTTGTAGTTTTTTTATTAATAGTTTGTAATAATTTTTATCCTTTTTTTAGGATATTTTCTATTAGCTTAGTTTGGACTAGTTTTAAGTGTTTTTAACATATTTTTATATTTCTTTTTTATCTAGGGCCTCTAAGGATATCAGTTTTTTGTAACTGTAACTTCTTCTTCTTCTTCTTCTTCTTCTTCTTCTTCTTCTTCTTCTTCTAAACTGTTGTTTACAACGTTTGGTCATCTGGGAACCCTAACCTTCATCATCATCAGTAATTTGAGGGGTACTGTGAAAATATACCACAAGGCGCGGTTAGAGTGGAATTATGTGTAGGACAGTGTAGTGGCTACACCCTGGGTGGGCCTACACTTAATTCCATCCGCCAAACTGACGTTGACACATTAATGATTCGTACACAAAGTAGGGTTAGGGTTAGGGTTAGGGTTAGGGTTAGGGTTAGGGTTATATATTTAAATCAAACTGGTATTCGTCACTAAATCCTCGGTGGTGTAGGGGTTAGAGTGATGCACTCCAGATCGGATGCTCCGAGTTCGAATCCTACTCATTCTATCCTGAATTGTTTTTTCCTTAAAAATTGAAGACACTTTGACTTTTATGAACATTTCATCAAGAAATTTCATATAAGAAAAGTGAAATGTCTTGTGAGAGGAGGACGTCAGTTTGGTAGATGGAATCAAGTGACGACCCCCTGGGTGATGCTCACACAGGATGGGAGTCAGTGTCCCGGATAATGATAGAAGTATCTAGGCCCCAGTCCTAATAAGAGCGTCTCCCTCCTTTCCTTAGCTTCCAAAAGAAGTTTAAAAAGTTTGTCCTTCCAAGAAGTTTTTCTTTTTTCTTTTTTCTTTTTTTTTGTGCGCGGAATGAATGTTGTGTGCGTGTATGTTAAGAAATTCATATACAAATATAGAAAAATTTAACGCAAGGATCGCCGGCTCAAGAGTATCAGTACTTCTCTTGTTTTGTTATTTACTCTGTTTTCTATCCTTGCGTAGAGCAGAGCTCAATACTGATAATTTAAACATTTGAACAACAGAAAAGAACCACAACAGATCAACCTTCAAGGAAAGTAAAACTTAAACACCGATTACCTCAAAATCTTGATCAAAGAAAACAATCTAAAGGACTTGGCATGGCTTGCTGGCGCTGAATAAAAATTCTAATTTAATGCTTAATACCACCGACCTTGCAGAAATAGATACACTCTAGACATTTAACTGAGGTCACACTGAATTGTTGGCATGTTAAAAACAGAACAAACTCGAGCAAAGCATAATCAATGAAAACGAAGCAACGACTATCTAGCATGTAACATGGTATCGACGTCTTAAAATTCTCATTTGTTTAAATTTCGCCTTTTTTAGTTATAATTATGGTCAGAACAAACAAAACGTGCATGTCCATGGGTCAGTGGGAAATTATCTGATGGTGTTAAGATTAAAAATAGAAACCACACCTATGTTTTGGGCTTGTTTAGCTGGAGTTTGACCAAAATTTTAGTTGACTACTCGCACGTACTGATTACCCTCTTAACAAGGCCGGAAATTATTCAGTAGTTGGCTGAATTAAATATTAAGTTGGTCGAGAAAGAAATAGAAACATGGACCAACTTGGTAACTTCAAATGTTAATGCCACAAATGAGCAGGAAAGCAAGATTGTAACTTAATATTCGCTATCCAATAAAAGAGCACGAAGCACGGATCACAAAACACAGCTAGTCTCGTAATGCTGCAGCATTTCGCTCTCCTGTTGATGATATGTATTTCTTCGGTTTCGCTGAGAACAGCCACCTCACCTCATATATCTCTTTACTCTTGATAAAATGTGATTAAATTCCATTGAAGTAAGGGTAACCTGTTTCTGCCAAACACTTTGAACGGTGACCTTAGAACAACACAAAGTTTCTAATTTTTAACTAGGTTTTTGTTTTAATGACTCCACTTCAAATGGAAAAGGGAAAAATATTTAGCGAAGGAGTTTCTAGGAACTTTTATCTGAAGCGTACTGTAAATAAAATGACTCGAAGATACAAGAAAATAAGTAAACCAAGAAAATGATAAGTAACACACGACAGCTTCTTCGAATGAATGTATTTATTTGTCAGAACTATCGTATCAAACCAGCCGTCCAGAACTCATTACTAAAAACTTAAACATCTGAACAGCAGAAAAGAACCAAAACACATCAACATTCAAGGAATGTAAAATATAAACACCGATTACCTCAAAATCATGATCAAAGAAAACAATCTAAAGGACTTGGCATGGCTTGCTGGCGCTAAATCAAAATTCTAACTAAATACTGAACAACACGGACCTTGCAGAAGTAGATGCACTCTTTAACTGAGGTCATCTTGAATTGTTGGCATGTTAGAAACAGAACAAACTCGAACAAAGTATAATCAATAAAAACGAAGCAACAA